ATGGAGGGGTTGAAGGGAGGGCAGGGGAAGGGGAAAAATAAGAACTAAGATTATGTAAAGATGCAAATTTCCAATGATGAATGTCATTATATTGTATACCTAATATGTACCGATAAAATAAAAAAAATTTTTTAAAAAGAAAATCACAATCAGTAATCTTATCCTAAGTGAATTAACCTAGCTAAGGAAGTGAAAGAGCTCTGAATGAAAACTATAGTACTCCAAAGAAGGAAAGTGAAGAGAACATTAGAAAATGCAAAAATAATTGCTGTTCCTGGATAGATAGAACCAGTATAGTCAAAATGGCCATAATTCCAAAATTTATATACAGATTTTACACAATCCCAATCAAAATTCCAATAGCACTCTTCATACAACTGGAGAAGATAATCCAACAATTCATATGGAACCAGAAGAATGCCAAAGCAATTGTGGGTAAAAAGAGCAAAGTAGAAACCATCACAACTGTGGATTTTAAGTTATATGGATTACAAAGCTACTCTGACAAAAGTAGCATGATACTGGCACAAAAACAGACATGAGGATCAATGATATAGAATGGATGATGCAGAAACAACCCCAAACACATTGAACTATGTGATCTTTGACAAAGGAGCCAAACACATACACTAAAGGAAAGATAGCCTTTTTAATAAACAGTGTTGTGAAAACTGACCATCTATATGCAGAAGATTGAATCTAGACCCATATCTCTCACCATGCACTAAAGTAAAATCAAAATGGATTAAAGAACTAAATGTTGAAACAGAAACATTTAACCTGCTGGAAGACAAAAATAGGTAAAACTTTTTTTTTTTTTTTGGTTCAGGGACCAAACTCAGGACCTTGCATTTGCAAGGCAGGCATAGTGTCACTGAGCTAAATCCCTGACCCTATAAAACTACTGAAGTCATAGATGTAGGCAAGAACTTTCTGAACAGAAACCCAGTTGCACAGGAAATAGTTCAAAGAATCAACAAATGGGATTAAATTAAATAAAAAGCTTCTGTACAGCAAAATAAATAATCAACAGTGAAAAGACAACCTATAGAATGGGGAAAAAAATCAGCTAGCCACTCCTCAGAGGACTAATATCTAGTATATAAAAGAACTCAAAAAAATTAGAACCTAAAAATAGAAGGCCCAATCAAAAAACAGGCAAGTGAAATAAATAGAAACTTGAAATACAAATGGATAATAAATAGATGAAGAAATGCTTAACACTGCTGAGCTATCCAGCCCTTTTAATTTTGTTTTGTTTGGTACTGGGGATCGAACTCAGGACCTTGTGCTTATGATGTAGGCTCTGTGGCACTGAGCTACATTCCTAGCCCCCCTTTTAGTTTTTTGAGATATAGTAATTTTCTAGGAGGGTCTCAAACTTGCTATCATACTGTGTTAGCCTCCCAAGAGTTAGGAAGCATAGATACTCTTCAGTAGATGAATGGTTAACTAAATTGTCATGAATCTGTCTCAGCAATAAAAAGAAATAAGCTAGCCATGGCTAAAGTTACAATCTTAGTACCAACTAAGAAAAAAATACCAAAAACACTTTCTTAACCAATAAACCCTTAGCATCTGGGACTAGTGACTGCAGAATGGGATACACTGCCAGGTCAGACACTGGAATTGTGTGAGCTGAACTGTGCATATCTGTGTTTGTGTGCATTTTTCTACTACAAGCCAAAACTTTCAACATGCTCACATTCAATATTAAGTAGACAAAGTGCTTGAAATGTTCACTTTTATGCTTGAGGTCATGGTTTACATCAAGATTTCAGATTGGGATTCATACTACAGAAGTAAATGTTGCCATGGTCAGAATTTATTCTCAAAGGAATACAACTTTGAAAAGCCTTGCTAGCATGCCTGCCAGCACTTGGAAGGCTGAGGCAGAAGGATTACAGAGAAGTCAAGGCTAGCCTGGGATATATAGGGAGTTCAAGGCTAGCCTGGACTAAATAGCAAGATCTTGTCTCAACTCCCTCCCCCAAATGCCTTGCTGAATAAACTGAGGAATGTTTGATGAACTATTTAAAACTACTGGTTTACTCCCAATACCATAAAAATTATACATTTAAATTGTTTTCTTTTCTGTGTTTCCTTGCAGTGCTTGGAATTAAACCCATGACCTCATGCATGCTAGGCAAGTAGTCTATCACTGGGCTACATCCCTAGCCCTAAAATGATATAATTTTAACTTACACAATTCATAGTTTATGATATTTATTACAGCCATTTTCAAATCCTTTAATTACTATGTCCTTCCTATAAAGGAAATTCTCATATTCAGCCTCATAAATTATTACAGCAAATACCTCTACCAAAAAGGAAAATTAATGCAGGTGAGATTATAGCAGAATTATCTCACTCATGCATTGTTATTATACTCTATGCTCATGTTTATTTTCATATGAAATTAACAAGTTCAAAAGCTTATCAAGTAAAAATATTGCTCTAGAGAGCACAAATGACATAAAAAAAACTGTTCACAGAAATAATGGCAGAAAACTTCCCAAACAGGGGCCAGGGATTTAGCTCAGTGGTTTCGCTGCCTGCTGCGCAAGCTCAAGGACCTGAGTTTACTCCCCGGTACCAAAAAAAAAAAAAAAAAAATTTCCCAAACAGGGAAAAATAATTTGAGATACAGATAAGTGAGGAATAGAGAACTCCAATTAGCCATTATCAAAAACAATCTTCGGGTCCAGGGATTTACCTCAGTGGTTTCGCCACCTGCTGCGCAAGTGCAAGGACCAGAGTTCAATCCCCGGTACCAAAAAAAAAAATACTTCACCAATGCATACCATAGTCAAGATTCCAGAAATTCAACCTAAGAAAAGAATATTAAAAGCTGTTAGAAAAAAGAAACTAATAAACTATAAAGGAAAGCCCATGAGAATCACAGCAGACTTCTCAACACAAACTCTCAAGTCAAGGAGAGCTGGAAGTGAAGTAGATCAAGCCCTAAAGGAAAACAACCTCCAAGGAGGATTGATATACCCGGCAAAACTATTTTTCAAAATTGATGGAGAAATGAGATACTTCCATGACAAAGAACACCTGTAGAAATTCATGAACACCAAACCCA